TTCCTGCTCAGGCTAGAATGCAATAAACAGTTCCTGGCACTGTAAAAAACTGGTTTGTTCAGCAGCACCAACGCCTTTCTAAGAACAGTTATTCTCGGAACAATTGTTCTTATCTACTTGACTGTTAACAGCTGAAACGAAGACCTAAGTTGCTGAGTAAATTTCATGGTAATGATTCTGCTGCCAGTGTAATAAACATTTGATTTTAATGATCCCTTTGATCTATTGTCGCCCTCAAGACAAACTTTTTTTTATTCTGGTGAGGTCATATTGCACTTGTAGCACCTTATGCTGTTATAGATCATGGGGAGTAATGAACAGTACAGATTCTAGGGACTGCACTTTGACTTTTATTTTTGCTTCATTAGCAAAGATGAGAACATAAAGAATCAGCTGAATTAATATTTGTCCACTGCAGACCGACATTAGCTAGCAGTAGAATAATAACAGCATCAGATCGCAGTTTAGTACCAATTTAAATGTTCAAGCAGATGGAGGACATGCAATCAGAAAGGCCCCACTTTGGCCAAGGCTAGGTTCAAGATAGTCAGGGGAAAAAATACACACAAAATAAGTTGAAAGTACAACAATGTGACACAAATTCTGTTTACAAAACACACATATGCATGCAAACAGGGTGCAAATATAGTGACACTTCCACAGAAACAGCCATTTGCACTCAGATAATAAGGGGACATTTTGACAAGAATAAAGTTGTCATGACATGTTTCACAAGACAGCATTAAACAATTTATAGCTCCCATTCTAAAGTTTATACAGTGAACCAGGTCATAAAGTCAATAGCACTGTTCCAACTAGAGTAACAGCAAAACGTCATTGTTACATTGTTGGCCAACCTATATCCTGTCACTCACGCTGTGGGAAGAAAAAGACTTCAAGGACTGCAGACAACATCTCTATCACTACCTACAGCAATAATGACCCCACTGATCTTCAGCTGTATTGAAGTTAAGTAACGGGCTAGTCAGAAAAGTGATACCAACTATGATACCTGTATTTACAGTGAGCCACTACAGCAGTGTTCAAGAGAGAGAAGCAATATTCCTTCAATACAGATGTGATTTGGACAGTGGCTTCCAGCAGTGTAAGTGACACAACAGCGTGGTGAATCAGTAACTGCATATTTTAAAAGGTGAAATAAATGAACATTCGATTCCTCCTGACATCGCTAGCGTGTACATATTTGACGTAAGAGGCTCTACCAGGATTTAATTGCAGCTGCAGGCATGTGCTTTTCTGATGGTGGGCGTAATAACATCCCAGCTTACCTCCATCTGCTCTGTCCTTACCAAATGGAAACGCTGGATGAAATACCTGAGCTGTGAATGTACACGTGAAAAGGTGAGAGAGAAAAATGAAAACCCGTGTAGTTGTTTAGTAAAAAAAACAAAAAAAAAAAAACAAACCGGAGGAGAGTGCATTAATAAGTAACTTACAAAGCTGCAACAGTCATATGGTTGTGAAGGGAATGTATTATCACCATCTTTTGGAGCCAATTACGATCAGCAACAGTTGCCACCAATGTACTGCCCACTTCTTTGTAAATGTTTATATAATGTCAATAAAGCTTGTATATTTGATATCAGTCATATGATAGGGGCTCTGTGTTCTCTGTAAATGTTCTGTAAACCTACACGGAGAACACTCATATTGCTGTACACTTTACGTTTCAGCAAATGAGCCTGTATTGTTTGCATTTTCAGCAGATGTAACAAAAGGTCAGTGCCTTTCTGATCTGGAGAAATAATCAAACCCTTATGTGTTTTTGCAGAGCCGTGCCCCTTTAAATGTGATTTATTGGTTAAAGTAAGCATTTAAAAATAAAGGCATAAGCACTGTAGGGATTCAAATATATTTTTTAAAAACATTGCTAGATATTGTAACGTAGGCTAGCGTGAGGAAGGAGTCTGAGACAGAAGTCGCCTTTTTTTCTCTTTTATTTCTTCCATGTCACTTTTGCATCCGCACAAAACACACCAAACAGAACAATCCCTGCCAACCCTGAACTAAATACATCCCACCCAGAGGGGCTTTACCTGGGATCCCATCAGGTGCTTCCCCTCCGAAGCATTCTGCGGGACCCTGCCACATGTCTCTCCACCCCCAATGCTACAATATGCTTGAATCAGACCCAGTAGTTACAGCTGTGCTTAAAATGCAATGCCCAAGACTGACTATATAAAGCCCATGTTCAGGACTTAGAGTGGAAACAGTCAGTAAGATACAGGTGTCTAACAATGGAATCAGTTGACCAGCTTCATGCTGTAATGGCCTCTCTCACCTCTTCCAAGCCACATGCAGAGGAGGGGGAGCAGATCATGACCATGGAAGTCCCATTAAACCGCTGACTGCCCAGCATCATCAGCCTCCTACACTGAAGGAAATAACCTGCCAATCAGTCAGCTGTCAACCAGGGAACATGTCTTCATCTAGTGCAAAGAGGATTATTGCACTCACTTGTTTTAACTGTACATTACACCAAGTTGTGGGAGTCATTTTACGACTCTTCTCGTCTGTCATTGGCCATGGAGGGCAATGCATACAATGTGTGAGAAAACTGATTCAGATAAGTTGTTCTTGTAGTATGTTGTCATTCATCATCACAGCTCAGACTGATTGGGATTTCCTCTAATTTAACTTTATATCATAATTGACTAAGTCACGTGACCTTAAAACCTTCTCTCACTTTCAAAGATTTTCATCCAGGGACTAACCACACTTCTACATGTCTGTTTCAACATTGTGGAGCCTTTATCTCTAATAACAACGATCAAGTGAGTGATTTGATATTCCTTCTTTCCTGTCCATGCTGTAACAGTCAGCAACAGGCAAGAATTATACACTAATGGTCATAAAACAATATTGCCACAGCAGCCTGGTACGACCTGCGCCCCCAGGAAGCTTGCAGCAGAAATGAACAGATTTGGAATTTATAACTTCATGTGTGACATCCAAAGTGACGTAAAAATGCATGAAAGCGTTGTTTTATGTGCCACATAAACGGACCATCACCTACAACTGGACTGAACATGCAACAAACTCCACATGAGCCCCGCTTCTGGATCCAGACCGGTGCTGTCCGGTCCTGATGAAACAACCTCAGCTACAAAGTGAATTTGTGACTTACCAGCAGCTGACAGGAGCTTTTAGTCGCTCCTTCTGCGCCGTAGCTGTGGTGACTCCACCGCCGGGTCCCAGGAGAGCGAGTTGCCGACTAGTGTCACAAGTTTACCGGGATGAGAGGAGACAAGGGCACACGCATTACCGTGCATCTGGGGCAGCTCCGCCGTCCCGTCAGCGAAGAAATCACATCATCCGCTCTGTTCGCCTCTAGGATCCTGGTGGGGGCGGGACAGAGGAGTCCAGCCTCCACCTACACTCCGCCTACGGGTTAGTTTGCCACAGACCCGGGTGTCGCGGAGAGAGAGAGACTTGCTGGACGAGTTTGGCCTCCAGCAGAAATTTCTCAGACACGTCACTACTGAAAGCAACCCAGAGGATTAGGAGATTAAATATTATTTCATGTCAAATCTTGCCATTGAGATTTGTTGTTTTATATGTCTGCTCAATTTGCTTCACTTTACATAACACCAACCCCCTCTCTCTCTCTCACTCCCACTGTGTGTGGATTGGGGTAAGGTATTGTTATGTTTATGTTTATAAGGGAACTCTCCAAGAAATTGCACTATTCACTGCAAATGTAAACACTATCAGGAACAATATGTAATTCCCTGGTAACCTAAGGTGGATTGATAGTGTGCCCTTGAATCGCACCGGTACATGATGCCCTTGCTGTGAATCAAAGTCATTTGGGATCCTGTTTTTCTCTGATAAACAATAAAAGTGACATCTCCTCGGGACAACACATGGTACTTGTTTGCTGCTACCTTAGTGACTTTAACTCACTCTAAGTATGAACAAATATTATAAAACACATTGGAACAATCAGATGGCAGCACGGTGTTTATCCTTTCACTGGTTCCTCTTACTGGGAGCTGTAAACATACCAAGATCTCCCAGTATCCATATGCCCCTTCTTCCTCCTCTGCTCTCTGCATGATCAGTACCTGACTCACTAACACATATTTATATGTTAATGCATTCTAGCTCTACTTAAACTGTTTGATACAAATATGTAAAGAATATATGCAATCCTTTTGTGTGGCCTAAATTTCTAAAAGAACAAAAACATATCATGCAATATGAAGAAACTAAAATCCTCTGAAAGAAAGGTACAGCCATATTTATTTAACAGGATGTAACCATGAACATGATGTCCCCAATGGCAAGGCCATAAACAGCAAAAAGACTGTGCATATTTGGAACCTGAAATAAAACATTAATTTTTTTTCAGAGATTCTTTATGAAAAATAACTGTAGGTGTATGAAAAGCTAATTCTCTCTGCAGACACATAACATAATCACAAATTTCTGTTAGAAATTAACAAAGGTGAATGAGTTTTGAAGCACATGTTGTTTCCAAGGAAACTCCGACAGCTATGGGGATGGGGGAGACAGATTTCATTAGGGATCTTTAGGGATGTGTCTCTGTATCCGATCCTTGTCTCCTGAACTGAGGCACTAACTAAATGCCCTGTTATTGTGAAATAGCCTTCCTGCCTGTAACAGTGTTGTTTGATCAGTTTATCTTTTCCCAAAGAGTGGCTCTATGCAAATTTTATATATCTGATGTATAAAGTCAAAGGATAAATACAAACAATCCCTCTAATATCTTTTATTTTAAGCATTATTGCAGGTCTTTCCTTCCTGCTGCTGTTGGGCCACACATTTCCCCATCGTCAGACTAATAAAAGTTCATTTTATCTTATCTTATCTTATCTTATCTTATCTTATCTTATCTTATCTTATCTTATCTCATCTCATCTGTTGGAACAAGCATTTGAGTGTAGTGAATAGGCCTTGTATCAAGGGGTTGTTTGGGAAATCTGTGGCCCTCTCTTTCCGGGCTCTATACTTGGAAGCAGTAATGTTATATAACATGGCCATCTGCTCTTAACATTGATTTAAAAGTCCCATTATGTGACATAGCCATGGTGAATGCCAGTAAACAAGGACGCACTTGATAGATACCCTCAAGAGATATGTTCATGAGTGGGCAGTTTTATTACCCTTAAACGTTTTTTGTGCTGGGGGCGTGCGTGTAGGCAGCAGCATGGCTTTGAGATTTGGGTATGTCACTCTGCATGCCTGTACCTGCTTGTTGATGCGTTGTTGCAAATGGAGAAGTTCACATTTTCCTTAATAAAACAGTTTAAACCGTGTATCTTGGGTTTTTGTCCGTGTGACATTTGCTTTGTCTCAGTTCATTTCTGGACATAAGAAAGTCGGTATAGAACAGGAGCAGGTCAAACAAATAAGTGATCGTGGCTATGTTGTGACATCTAGCGGCGCTTTGGGGAATTGCTTTTAAAAAGCAATCCATTCACTGAACCAACCCAAAACAAAACGAGCTCACAAGTTTACTGGTTATGTTTCAGACACTGGAGTCTGTTTTCACTGATAAAGAACAAGCATTTGTTAACGGGGCCAGATTCCTGTAGGCTACTGTTAATGATCAGAAAGAAGAAAGAAGGAAAGAAAGAAAGAAAGAAAGAAAAAGAAAACAGAAAGAAGGAAAGAAAGACAGAAAGAAGAGGAAAACAGAAAGAAGGAAAGAAAGAAGGTCCAGTGGTCGGTATCGGTAATTAATGTTTTTCTGTGTGACGTTCACTCCGACTTCTTCCCACACAAAGACATTCAGCTTAGGTTGAATAGTAATTCTAAATTGCCCGTAGGAGACTGGCACCTGTCCAGTGTGTAACCTGCCTCTGGCCCAGTGTCAGATGCGATTGGCTAGTTAACGCCTAGTTTATTTTTAATTGTAGTAATTATTTACATAATTATTATTATCGCGCGTATTGCTTGTTTTTAGCTGAATAAAATTATGGTTAATTATTTTTTCATGCAGACTCCTGTAACTTTTACCCTGCATCGACCTATATTCGTGACACCGAACAGCAGTACACCTTGATCTCGAATCCAACTTCACCCAGATCTTGATCTCTGGATTTCTGTATATCTAGCTTGCGATTGGTTGCTTCACAAGCCCCGCTCCCGGCATGAACGCGCTCGGACTGAATCTTATTATCATGGCATTACCTGCAAATAGTGATATTATATATTAAATAAATACTCAATACCCAATTACATCCTGACAAAATTATACTTTGTTTCTTCGTCAGACACAACAACGCACAATGAAAAAAGTGGAAAACACGCGCACACATGCTCACACACGCACACATCACAAAACAACCCAGTTCCCCGCCCTCTACATATTCTATTGGCCGGTTTGGGAAGTCATAACTCACTTGATTGGTTGATGTTGCCAGCAATCACTTCTAATCGGCACACGATTGGTGGAGCTCTTAAGAGGAAGTCAAGTATCACAACGTTTTTGGAGCTAAGGTCGGAGTTAACAAAAGAGATTCGCGTCAATCGAAACATTCTGAACACATTTTTAAATTTTCTTTTCTTCCCTGGACGGACCACGCGGGAGAAGATTACGTTACCCAGTTGCGAATCAACCCCTCCTGTCGTGACAAGGTTTTGATCTTATCGTGGACTTGACCACCACCGCACGCCAGAGAGGAAAGTGGGACTTTATTGTTCAAGGCTAGCTAGCTAGCGCTGCCAAGCGGCTTGTTTTAGTGTGTGTGGTGGACCGCAGACTATATGGCTGCGATTTACGAGCCAATATATGGACTTTCAGAAGATGAGGTAAGATTTAATCTAAACGAAGCTTTGTTATGTAGACGGCAGTCGTGATTAGGTGTCTCACAGTCGGCGTTAGCTAATGTGAATGAAGCTAGCAAGCCGTCACCCACGGTCACGTTCTAGTAATGTTCAGGCAGCTGTCAGTATCCTACACACGGCGTGCCCACTGTTGTTACTTTACTTGCCTAGCTGTCTGTTTTTTTTAACGGCTTCGACACTTTGTTTTCAGATAGCTCGATACATCCTCTGATTTATGTGTGATCAACTTGTAGCTCGACTAGTGCCCCTATGTGTTGTGCTGAAGCCCAGATGCTCATGTGCTGGACGGCATTACAAGATAACCGCATTGTCCGACGTAAACACCGCCTTTTGTGAGTAATCACAACAGGCTGATGGTGCTGATCACTAAACGAGTTGGACGCTGAAAGTCAGCAATGCAGCATAAAGGGATGCTATAATGTAAACATCATTTTACATGAACAGTGACGACTCAAATATGAGAGCACACTGAATGATAAACATAATAATTTGCTAACAGAGTAATAGTTGTTGTTTCAGCCAACTACCAATTAGATCTTGCTAATGCAGTTAGGAATAGTAAGGCTGCATATTTATCGGATGGCTCCTGTGGGCGACTGAAGATATTGAAGGAGGAAAATTGGGGCGTGTCTATGTGATTGTCGAGTTCGTCTCAGCTTCAGAAGGCTGAACTGTCGCTCTTCCATCGGGATGCAGGAGAGATTTGCATGTGACCTTTTAATGCCAGTTTAGTGACCATACTGCAAGTCTGTACTCACTCTGTAGGTTGACTGAACATTAAACCGGCCAGTATTTATATAGATATTCTAAAACCCTTTAAATGTGTATTTCTTATATTTAACATTTTTCATCACTTTGATTAAAACAGGTGACTATAAACTACTGAGTAACTCAGCCTGTGTCTGTGTTTATTCTGCTGTGTTAACTAGGTGACTTTTTTTGGCTTCCATAGCTTTGTGGTGTCCTGTCTGTTAGTTATTGTTGGAGAGGTGGCATGCTTATAACAACATTACACACACCACAACACACTCAGTTTTTGGTTAATGTTCACCATATAATGAGGATCAAACCAGATCACTTAATCTCCACAAATGAAGCTTTTAAGACAATTTTGGGAGACTTACTGTGACTTTAAGGTAAACATTCAGTAATCCTAAACCCGCTCAACAAGGCCATAGCTTGTTAATGGTTTTACTTGAGACCCCATGCTATGGGGTGCTGTGGGAAATAAATGCATACACATATTATTTAACACAATGGTCAAAAAACACATGAATAGCCAAAGTAATACTGATGTACATGGATGCTAAACCTGCACATTTTGAAAATTCTATTGCTTATATTTTCTTTGCAGCATTTCAGGTTAGCTTCTTCATCTGCCAAGTTCTAAATGTTGGAGTTTCTTAGGAAAGGACTGTAAGGTTATGAAATAATTTTTTCATGTGTTTGATTAGATGTTTTGATCCATCTTCTCTTTGTTCTGCAGCATGAAACGAGAGTGCTGCGGGTTAAGGTCATTGCCGGAATTGATCTGGCGAAGAAGGATATCATTGGAGCCAGGTGAGCATCACAGATTTTTGTTGGACACACCAGAAGATGCTGTTTTCCTCAGAGGTTTCTGTGCAGGCTGTGTTACCTCATGTTCTCTGTTCCTGTCTCTGGCATTGCGCATCTTTTGGCCATACTAGGCTTTAATGTTGGCTGGTGTTTTATGTTTTAACACTCTTAAGGTCATGTATGTGTTGTCAGTTACAACAGTTTTGTTTTGAATTATACAGTGTTAGTGAGAGTTACTTCAGTGAGCAATAAGGATTTGTTAGGGATATTTATATGAGAAAAGCCAAACATAAGACCCATTACAGAAGCTTTAGCTATAGCATTGAGTTTTGACACCTGATCGTAGATTTTTAAGCTTCTTCTTTAGTTCGTCTTTCAGGCTCTCAGCACACAGTATATATTCACTACATTCCTTCTACTTACAAAGACCTTGAACTTTAAGTGTTAATCAAAGGTTACTTACCATACCCTCTTATCCAACTTACAACCCACCTGTATTACATTTTAGCCAGATAAAAGAACAATAATTATGCCACATATTTTCACAATGTAGGAATACGTAAACTGAAATGTTTGAGGGTCTTTAAGGCATTTTGTTCATCAAAGGCCTTTGTCTCATGTTGTCTGCACTTCCTCCATGAAGTGTAACCCACTTTAATCACAGCTTTATATGACATTACATAATATCCCTTGCTGGGGTTGTATTTGAAGTCGGTGTTTCTTTATTTTTTTGCATGCCTAAGCACTGTGACTTCTGCCCTCTGGATTTTAATTACCTACCTCTTTGTATTTGAAGTGCTAGAAAGCTATGATCAATTAATAATACACTCATTGATGTTGGTTCATAGAACAATTCCTCTGAACTTGGTTTTTCCTAGTCCAGACCATATGCCTCATTCTGTCAGTTCAGGGCTGAGCTTTAAGGATAACACCTCTTAATTTTAAATAGGTTTAGATGACTAAACCTGTTCATGGACTCACTGCAATCAGAATGGCCACCCATTCTTTCTGTAACAGGTTCGTTTCAGAAGGTCATACACTGCCACTCTTTTCAAAAACTCATTAAACAGCTCAGTAACACACTGCTGAACTCAGTTGGTCTTCATGGCTAACTGGTATGTCATTCGCTAGCCTATAAGTCAAGTCAGGTGTAAAGGAACTAAATTCTAATTATATGTAGGGATCCAACATCTGCGTTGTTGCACATTTTATATACATTCTTGACAACACACTCCCCTGAAAGCAAATTCTTAAAACTAAACAAGTCTGTATATGGTAATGTAATGTAAACTCATGTGGCAGTGCTTCAGTAATGCTGTCCCAGGAAATGTCCAGAGCAGGCTGCCTTACAGAAGTTGATATATTATTATCATTAACTCTATGTGCATCATTGACTTATACTGGTAAACAACAAAGAAGAGAAGGTCCAAGAATAGTCTTGATGCAACACCAGTGACTTGGAGTAAGGATTTAACTTACCCATGCCATTATATATTAATGACTTTTGGTATTTT